TCAAGTTCTAAAGTAACCACCGGTGTTGTTCACGAAGTATTGACTCGAGTTTTCTAAGCTAAAGAACTTAGAAAACAACGATATATTTTATTGGCATATTTTTAGATTTGACTATAAGATTTGTGTAAATGTGGAAACTTTTAATTTCATATATTCACTTTTTTGAAAATCTTTTATAACTCGACGATGAATTTATATGTAATTAATGCAATATTTCCATTTTTTCAACTTTAATTTACCAAATATAAAGAGGTTTAATTAATTTTTTAACTACCCCAATAAACAAAATTTACATAAAAGATATTTCCAATTCTTTTGTTTTCATTTGATTTAAACCTTCGCCAATTGCTGTGTTTAAGTCAATTTGTAGATATATTACAGCGTAAAACAAACTTTAACTTAAACAAAAATATACATTAATAAGAAAAAAAGAACATATTGGATATTGAGGTCATTGTGGAAGGTACGACTGGATTCATAAAAAGAAACGTTGTTGATGGTTCGGAGGATTTTGGATTGTAGGTATTGGATGCGTTGGAAAATGCGAACAAAGTGTCGAACCCCAAAGTTCGATGCCGTACCATATGGGCCTCAAAGAAGGCGTATAAATCAGTCGTTTATTTTGCAGTCAGTTTTGATCGTTTTTCCACGTGTGCCCGTCAAATGTATGTCGTTTGTCAATAAATAACCGAAGGTAGCGGACTACAATACATAAGCTGGATAGAGAGGAATACTATTGTAGTAGATGGTAGCACTGGTGAAAGTGGTAGTACGAAGGGTGAAAGTGACATGTTCATATTTTTGTATTTATTGACATCTTCCGCTCAACTACTGCGTTCAAGGGATCTAACATGGATTTGCAATTCTGGTTGATATGAGATGATCTTTATGAGAGCGAAGGATGGCAGTATCATCCGAATAGGTTAGGATCGTTTCAGGTCTGCGATATACAGGGTGAATTGCTACTCGTGCTACAAACTTCTCCAGTAGATTCTTCACCCTAAAATGAACAAAAAAGTTCATATTGTCCATGGTCCGATTCTCAACCATTTCAGAGTAATTTCGCTTTTTATCGATTTTGAAAGATATCACGTCCTGGCGTCGGAAAATCGTGATATCTTTTAATCTAAACATTTCTCTTAAAATCTATAAGCACCGTTGAAATCCCCGTTAATTTTTAGAGAGAATCAAAATCATAATTCCATTGAAATTTTTTAATTTAATTTAATGCCCATTTAGTATGTAATGCTTAAGAAGTTTACAAACAGCTAGAAGGTCAAGGAAGAAAGACCCAAACGTTTTGCCACCTTCATCTTCTTATTGAAAAATTAACGGGGATTTCAACGGTGCTTATAGATTTTAAGAGAAATGTTTAGATTAAAAGATATCACGATTTTCCGACGCCAGGACGTGATATCTTTCAAAATCGATAAAAAGCGAAATTACTCTGAAATGGTTGAGAATCGGACCATGGTCAATATGAACTTTTTTGTTCATTTTAGGGTCAAGAATCTACTGGTGAAGTTTGTAGCACGAGTAGCAAGTCACTCTCAAACATTAGCAATCCTTGAACCACCATTTTTTCTCTTTTTGTCATCAACATCTTGGTCTCACAACCACTAAATAAGAAAATGACGAGTGCGTTGGAAGCGTTATTAAATCAGGTAGTTTTCCTCAAATTTGCTGCCTTCTGAGACTAAAATTAGAAACTCTGGATTACTTTATACACTTTCCGATTTACACAATTTTCCACTCTTTTTGTAGTTCTGGCTGAAATAAAACACAAAAAATTAGCCCAAACATTTTGCCACCGTCATCTTCTTATTGAAAAATTAACGGGAATTTCAACGGTGCTATTAGATTTTCAGAGAAATGTTTAGATTAAAAGATATCACGATTTTCCGACGCCAGGACGTGATATCTTTCAAAATCGATAAAAAGCGAAATTACTCTGAAATGGTTGAGAATCGGACCATGGACAATATGAACTTTTTTGTTCATTTTAGGGTGAAGAATCTACTGGAGAAGTTTGTAGCACGAGTAGCAATTCACCCTGTATACTGTGTAGAAGATGGGTCCTAAGATACTTCCTTGTGGTCCTCTGAATCTGTACGGTAGAGAGAGGCCAATGATGCGTTGAAATTATTTGTCGGATCAGGTGGTAAGTAAAAAGGTGAACTCGCTTAAGCTTCCAGAGTAGCTCCGAGTGCTACACCCGATCAAATGCTTGCTTCACATCTAGGAATCCACCGGAGCATCCTTCCTATTGCTCAAGATTGGTGATAATATCTACAAAGCGATGGTGCTGCTTAACAACAGAATGAGAACGTCTAATCAACCAAAACTGGTGGTTGGGGAAAAGGTTGCCGGAACGAAGTTTATCTAGGGTTTTACCTATTATAGGCAACAGACTAACTGGACTATAGGATATAACCACATTCAATTTGGAGCACGAGTGCACGAGAGTTTGCTTGATGCGCGGCGGCTCCGGCAGACGAGGAACGCGTGGCGACGAGAAAGGTGGCTTGTCTTTTTTTGTGGTTTGCGCTCTCGTTATTTTTCCCCTGGGAACAAGTGGACGTTTTCTGGATTCAGCAGCCTTTTTTACGGAGGGAAGAGATCTTTCTGGACGTCGGACTGCACAACCGGCTTTATACGAATTCGACAACTATTTGCCTTGGACTTTCAACGAGCTGCAGGGTAATCACTTGTCCAGAGAACATTTTATTTTCATTTGTTCACTTTGTCAATTGATTTTCTTTATTATTGCCGGCACAATGTTTTTTTTTCTTAATTTTTTATAAAAAGGCCTTAATCAGTATTGTTCATTTTTAAATATAGAAAAGATACTTATTTGTATTATTTTATTTTAATTTAAAAAAAAGGGAATTTTTTGTTTTGTTCATTTTTATTTTTTCAAAAAATAGAAAAAAAAGGTGTTCATTTGTATTTAATTGCTGTCGTTATTTTTATTTCATTTCAAAGACCTGAAACAACTGTCCTGATCCCTCCACGACAATTTTTATAAGATTTTTATTTTTATTTTAAATATATATTGTATTTTATAAGGATTATATAAAACAATTATTCAGAAATCGTGCGATGCGGTCTGGTGTGATGTAGGTTTCAGAAAAATATTTTCTTTATCGTGCCAACGTTTCGACATTTATCCAGATCATCTTCAGGGCCTGGGATTTACAAACATAGTTTAAATTTATCAAAATACATGTAGGATGTGGAAAAAAGTAAATTTATACATTGCAAAAAAATATTTTTTTATATTCAATCAAAGTATTTCTACTCTTTTGATTGAATATAAAAAATATTTTTTTGCATTGTATAAATTCACTTTTTTCCACATCCTACATGTTTTTGTTAAATTTAAACAATGTTTGTGAATCCCAGGCCCTGAAGATGATCTGAATAAAGATGGAAACGTTGGCACGATAAAAAAAAATGTTTTTCTCAAACCTACATCACACCAGACCGCATCTAACGATTTCTGAATAATCATCGATTAACGGTCACTAATCACCACACATTATATAGAACTGTGGGCTAATTTTATTAAGAACAATTGTTGAGGAAAAACTTCAAAATTATTAAATGATTAGCTCAGATTAGGCTGTCAATAAAATAATAGTAGTAAGAAAATAACAATATCAACAAAATAATAACAACAAGATGATAGATTGAATTCAATGATAGATAAAAACTAAAATAAATAAAAAATAGCTTTAAATTAAGGAGGTACAATAGAAGACATGATGACACAGAGATTGCATGGCATATCAACAGTTATCAAACGATATTTTTTTCTGACACAGAATGAAACGACAAATTGTCGTCTATACAGCAAAATGTGCTGCGAAAGAACTTTTAGCATATATCGTCGTTCGTTGAATAGGACCACTTCAATGGATGCCGCTGTTATCGCAATGTTGTGGGAACTTTGAGACGCCCACTTCGCAGAGAGGAAAAACGGTCGTTCATAACCGTAATACGCCTCTGTATTAAGTACGTGAGCTCTTATATTTTTAAAATACATGAAAAGACAAACACAAAAACAGGCGAAAACATTTCATAACTTTGAAGTCAATTTTATAAAAAAAACTTCCGATTAAATCTAAGCTCGCAAAAGACGAATGTGTACATTGTAGATATTAGGGCGTGGATATAGCTTTGGCAGTAAAAAGAAGACCATTTTGAAAGGGCTTTGAGCCCGTTATAATTTACCGGAATGAGGGGTGTAAGCGGACATCGTCCTCCCTCCCGTACAACTAATCAAACTAAGCATCTTGGGCAAAAGGGGTGAGATAAGATACCCTAATGGATACGACCTGGAGAATGACCGTCGGTGGAAACCCGAGCCTAATTCAGGGATCCGCTTCGTCGCTGGATCTCTATTTTACGTGAACACCCCTCACTAAGCCAAGAGTGTCTGATGTCGCAACATTAACAACCTGACCGTTGCCTCCAATTATCGAATGGAACCACCTTTTCGGCTCTGCCTCGGAGGTTCAATTTGAGGAATTAAGCCGAAGGCAATATGATTTAATTCGGGATTAAGTGCGCAGCGTCGAATTTCCATTAGATCCGCGCCGATGGAATTACAAAATCAAGCAATCGGATACGTTTGTTCGTTATCTCGGAGTGAAACTTTTGTTACAGTTGGTTTGTGGTGAGGAAAAAGTTAAATTTGATTAAATAATTATAATCGACAGTAATATCAATACAAAATTTGCTATGTTTAAAGTCTGATTCTGCAGCTTAAAATAATAAACATTATTAGAATTTTTCTTCTGAGCAGGCCGTGCGTTCCATAAATATCACCTTGTTATTTTCACATAAATTGCAGTTGGCTTTCTTATTTCGGACAAGCAGAGAAAATTATGCAAGAAAAAAAAACACTTGAAAAAATGTATTTATGGTTTAATTTTGGGTTAGTGGGCAACTCGCAAAAATAAATAAATTTGATTTTTATTCAATTTATTGCTTTTATTTGAATGAACAGAGTATAGTGAATCCGTTATAAAAAATGAATGTAGTTCCGCGTTTAAAAAAAGTGAAGTTCGGCTAAGTTTGAGTTAAATTACACATGATCTAGTTTTGGAAAAAATTCTCGGATTTTCTTCTGTTCACGTTCAAAAATTCCAAAGGTGTATATGCCATTAGAGGTGAACTTGGATTCATCAGTCCATAGGATGTTTGAAAGAAGGTTTTCTTCAGCCTCCCAGATCGACCTTTCGGCAAGGAACGTCAGATGCCTGTCATAATCTGTGTCCGGAAGTCCTTGGACAAGATGAAAGCGATACGGCTTAAACTTGTAAGTCCGGAGTACACCTCTAATTTATTTTTTGAAAAACCTAAAGCCAACATTTCGGATAGGAAATTCGGATTTTCGCGAGCATAAGTAAAATATTCATCTCCAGAGTCGAAATTGCGCTGCCGGTTTCTTTTTGCCATAACTGCGCATTTTTTGACCAATTTCAAATCCAATCACCATTGTATTCATCGTAAAAATCAAAAGGGTCGTATTTGAAATTTTGCAATTGAACTAGGCCTCACGTACCGTGTACAACTTTTCTCCAAAAAAGTAAACATTTGAAACTATTTTTCAATTAATTAAGATTTTTAGTTGAGATAAAAAAGTCAGTGTCACGAGCGGGATTCGAACCCACGACCTTAGGCTAGATATGCCGCTACTCAACCACTTGAGCTATCGTGACTTCGAGTAGCAGTAGTAGTAGAGTAGCAACGTATCTAGCCGAAGGTCGTGGGTTCGAATCCCGCTCGTGACACTGATTTTTTATCTGAACTAAAAACCTTAATTAATTGAAAAATATTAATTGGTCAAGTGGACCACAAAAACTAGTGAATTTGAAACTATACTAAAAATATTAAACATTTTTTTATAGGGTCATTTTATAGCGTATCTAGCGTCAAAGTTAAATAATGTCCAATATGAATATTGTAGATTATTCTGTGTAAACAACTATGTGTTGAAAATGAAACACTTTTTTACAAAGTTGTCTACACAGACGTCAGGAGAATGCTCGGCTCTGATAACCCTCGCAGATATTTATTTTATCTGCCTTTCCATTTTTCTCCCTGTACCTCCAGGCGGTTTGAATGGGTGGAAATTCAGGGTGCACCCTTGCTAACACTGCCCGCCTCCCCCGCACCGGGCCCAGTTTAGCAGAAACTTTGTCCACCCTGAGATAATGTGTTAACACTTAATTCCGAGTTTCTAACTTTTTCCTCCGGCGAAAGCGCTTTTAAAAGGGCCTAACGCGGAGCAAACTGCGCCATTTTGACGACATCCACCGCCGCTGCTGGCCCCAGAGTTTTTCCAACAATAATTTGTCTCGCTCAGTCGTTTTACCGGGTTGGAGGGGCGGCTCAAAAATTGCTGAAAAGCGCGAGTGTCAAACTCTTTTGTTGGGATATTTTCAAACGATATTTTCTTTGACAGCTTATTTGTCAATTTTTTATATGATTAGGTTTTTTTTACTGCTCTTAGTTGTTATTATTATATGAAAACTTAATTTTCGCAGAGAGATTGAACAAAATATATACAGAACTTTTAGCTTGTAACTGGAGAAAAAATAATGCTTTCCGTCGGCTATAATAAATACAAATAATAAAAAAGTCCACTGAGCTCATCATTCCAAAGATGCGGTTGGCATAACTCTCCAGAGCAGATATATTGGCAGATTAACTAAATAAAAACTAGGTAAATAAGTCCTTGACATGTAAAGGGTTGATTTGCTAATGAAATGTTTCAAAATGTACATTTTTTGAATTGCAGGGATTGTGTATCGTACTTTTTGATATGAATGCGTATGAGTTGCAATGATGTGGAAGTCCAGGATAACACACTGAAGATGTAGCTACTCAAGTATACCCTCTAATAGGGGTCCTTAATTTCACTTGTTAAAATTGAGAATTGGTCGGGTATTATATAGCCCCGAGACCTATCCTGGAACTTCGTTCCAGCGGAAGGTTGAGCCGGATCACTGAATAAAAGACCTGTAAAAGTCAATCAAACAGATGGAACCAAAAGAACGGACGTCACTTGGGTTGTGCATTATCAAAAATTGGTGTAAATCCGCAAAACTAGTAACTGCACGCGATAAAACTGTCAAAGTTATGCTGAAAAGAATCTAAACTCAAGAAACCCTCACCATTATCTTAGAAGACAAGCACCCAACTATACAAAGTCTAGCAGGTCTCAATATTGCAGGGTCAATTCATACCTGCCTCACTGCAGCAATGGAAACTGAACTCAACTTCCCACCCTTACACGTTTATGTACAAAAGGTGGCTTTTGAGAGTGTCAACAGACTCCTTAGATATAAAGAAATAAAACCAGATCTAAGGACCAGCCACCACCAAATTTCCCAAAGAATTAAGATAAATGAGATGGCTACTACGGTGTCTGACAAAATGAGGAAAAAGCTCAACTTTGACCGACCCTTCCAAGTTGATATAGACGATAGAGACATTTGGAAGAAAGTTGACCCAAGTTTCAAGGACGGGCCCTAATATGATACACAGATGGATCAAAGATGGAACAGGGAGTAGGCGTAGGGGTAAAAGGGCCGAATTACACCCTAGCAAAGCCCCTTGGACTAATCCCAACGATTTGCCAAGCTTAATTCCATGCAATACAACTATGTGCACACCTACCAATAAAAACATGCAAAAGGTGCACAGATAAACTTTCAAAAACTCTCAAACAGCCAGGCAGACATAAAGAAACTAACTTCATATACTTTCAACTACAAACTTGTCTGGGAGTGGCTATACTGTCTAATGACTCTGGGAAAGCAAAACAAGAAAGCTTCATGTGGGTTCCCTGACATGAAGGCATAGAATGAGAAGAACAGGCTAACCAACTAGGCAAAAAGGGGCAATCCTCTCACCCATAGAACCAGAACCATAACTAAGTTCTCCGGAGTGCGAGCTTAAGTTGGAATTGGAAGAAAAAGTTGACAAATAAAACCTAAAACACTGGAAAAACACTCTAGGTATAAGAAAAACTAAGAGATTTATAAACATTAAAAACAGAAAACGAAAGAATTCCTCTATCTCAGCAGTAAAGAATTCAGGAGGATTGTAGGCCTTTATACAGGCAACGGCCTTCTTAAATATAACCTTAAGAAGGTGGGCAAGCTGAGACGGAAACATACTGTCAGGAGGAACCAGAGGCCTGCCGATGCACATATCCTCTGCGAATGTGAAGCATTAGCCCGTTTACGGTACAGCCCCTTTGGTAGGGCATTTCTCATACATAAAGAGAGTCAGTTTTATAAGAAATAGACTTTCCAATGTATGGCTGTAAGCCATAGGTATTCCACAGTAGACCTGTTTAGGTCGCAGTGGAGGATGAATTTTATTCAATCAACCCCTCCCCCCATCAAAAGGCATATCGTTATGGTTAAGTCTAATTCCAGTGATAGTATAATCTTCGATTTTAACCCCAATTATGAAGTAAATGTATATACATAGAAGACGAGAGAGAGAGTGAGAGAGAGAGAGCGAGAGAGAGAGAGAGAGAGAGAGAGAGAGAGAGAGAGAGAGCCCATAGAAATAGAGGGATAAAGAACGACATAGAGAGAAAATGGACATTCACGGCGCGAAGTTCAGCAGGTTCGCAAGAACAGCATGTCGTGATGGTTTAGTCTAATGTCTGAGCCGTGATCGTATACTCTGTTTTTCCCTCCTTTCACCTTCAACAATCAGCCTATTTCCTTCTTCTCCACATTTAAAAACCACGGGCTTACCGACAACCAAAACTAACTAAATGAATTAGCACCTGAAATAAAATAAATATGTATCGCACTTCCGTTTCCCTATTGAGCACTTCCGTGAGTTCCATCGGTAAAGAACTATGAAAACAGCTCGCATAGAAATATTTGGGTCGACCTTCAAACAGAGCGAAAAGCCAAAGAAAACTAAGTAAAATTGGCCTAAGAGCATAGTGAAGAGAAATAAATTGAAAGACCTGGCGGTTTGATTGACTTGTATATATGTTGTAGCATGAACTGGCATCAACCGACATCAATGATGTCGACTCATTTATCGAGTTCTTTTGACTGATTAATAGGCTTTTGTTTTTGAATAATTGTTCTCTTTGTAGCTAGTAAAATTTGGTATCGTTTTTATGTTTATTCTTTATTGTTTTGAATATTTTCAGAACAAAGTTCTGAACGGGAAAAGGTACGCTAGAGTGGAGAAAATTCAAGTTTTATTTAAAAAAGCTCATTGTTTTAAAATAAACACTAAAAAAATTGTTTTGAACGGATTGAGATAAAACAACGAGGTTTAACGACGAAAAAAAAATTTTACTCTACAACCTGACCACCTTGTTTATATAATGTAGGAGGTTTAGAGGTCGACAAACAGCTAAAGTCAACTCTGGCCCTCTGCGTGTTTTACATCTTTTTCTGGACTTTCACACGTATTTTTCAACCAGCGGCCATTCTGGTCTCTCTTCATAACTTATTCATAAAAAATATATATAAATATAGGAAACTTAACAATTTGTAAACAACCGATTTATACCAGGTATGGGCAAGCTATATCTTAATAATCGATCCCATTAAGGAAAAAGAAAAAAAAACAGGTATTATTATGTAGAAAGGATGACAAATTAGGAAAATGCCTTTCTACCTCAAGGATTAAGTTCTCTTAACATTGTAAAAGGCTAATTGAGATTAAACCGGATGAAAAGGCGGCTTGCGAACTGAGTGCTCGTGGGGTGGGGGATTTTCCGTGAAAATCGTGTAAATCGCTCGTGGCTAAACAAAGACAAACGATATGAGGTTAAATTTTGTGGAATTTAGGTAGAATTAAGATGTTAATGGAGTCTTTGATGGGGTTCTTTGTAGAACGATATAAATTGTTGTCTTTTTAGGCCGGGGGCGTGGGAGGTCCGCAACTTAGCAAGACAGTTTTAACGGGGATTATAAGAGACAGAGGAAGGAGGGCGCAACCGCTCCGAATTACCATAACAAACTCGAGGTGCAATTAAGATTCATAAACAAGGGTGTAATAAGTCAGTATTAAAGTATCAAAGAGTTTAAGGCCGCGAGGAGGAGATTAACTGAATTTCAGCGCGTATTGTCTTCCAGCATCCTTCGGAATGAGTTTACCTTCATCGCTTGATTACTTCCTCGGATTCGCCCTCAGTCACGAAATAACTCCAGCTCCTTCCTCCGGCTTCGAGTTCGAACTGTGTGGGGGCGGGAATGTTGGAGAAACATTTTAAACGATCGTCAAACCAATTTTCGGCTGAAAACGAAAAGTTGTGAATGCACGAGAAATTGTTTTTTCGTTTCATTGAACTTGGATTTATTTTACTAATCGAACCGCAAAACGAATTTTCTTAAATGTAAATAAAGCAAAACAGTTTTCGCTGAGATGCGAAATTAGGTTGCTCGCCAATTCATTAATGTTAAGTATTATGTTGAGGCCTGCGAGGTTATGAACCCGTCAACATTTACGGTTAGAATAACTAGAATATACGTAACACAGTTGTCAAATTCCCTTCTACAAAGATAATTAATTTTCCAGCTAATATAATAATGTATTATTATATCTACGCTCCAAGACCGGGCTCTAGAGGAGAAAGTAAGTGCCGGTGGTTGAATAAAGGGTTTAAATTTGATTGTATTGTAAAGTAAAGTAAAATAAGTAAATGAAAGTTACTTATTTATTTAATAAAAACAGACTGTGATCGAATATGATTATTTAAGGAAAAGGAGTGAATCCTTTGTGGCAGTGTGTGTGCAGCCTTGTCATCATCCATGTGATGTATATATATATATATATATTATTGGGGTTGGGGTTGGTAAGAAAATAATGACTTTTTTACAGTATATATTTTTATTTATTTTATACCTGGCATGTTTTTAAATATTTGGGGATGTATTGCCCATTTCGCATAAAAATAACCATCTTTTGAGTCTAGGAACGTTTGAACAGCTGTTTGAACTGATTATTTGGAGAACGTGAGATGCGGTCTGGTGTGACGTAGGTTTTAGAAAAACATTTTCTTTATCGTGCCAACGTTTCGATCTTTATTGAGATCATCTTCAGGACCTGGGATTTATAAACATTGTTTAAATTTTTCAAATACATGTAGGATGTAAAAAAATGAATTTATACAATGCTAATAATTCATTTTTTCACATTCTGGTGAAAGACTAGTCCTTTTCTGTTAGTACAAGATATTTTTGCTTTTTTGGAAGTTAGCTGTTCACAGTACAGTTCGCTATTAACCGTTAACATGGGGCCGGACTTGTCCCACCAAATGCACAGCATACGTTATTTTTTCGTTCATTTGTTGTTTTGAAACAACTGGGGTCTTTTGAAAGGATTGGCAATAAGCATTTTTGCGGGTTATGTTGTTGTATGTGATCTATTTTTCATCACCTGTTACCAGTCTACGACGAAATGGGTCGTAAGGGTGACGACACAGATGCGAAGAGCAAATTGACATGCATAAATCCAAATCTTTGGATGTGGTTTCCAATGGTTCTATGGGAATCATTTAACATCTCTCCTAGTTCTCGGGTCTTCAAAAAAAGAGTTTCTTCTAGCATAGGCCTCAATATGTCGTCTCAATCCTCAGAAGGACTGCGGACATCAACTTCAAGAACAAAATTTTTTTTCTTAGAATCGAACAAACCACAGTTGGACTTTACGAACATTTACAGCATCAGAATCAAATACAGCCCACAAATTTCAAGTTGCAACAGTTGAATTGTTCCCTCTTTGGAAGTCAAAAGTAAACAATGCCTTAAATGCGTTTCATCCAGAGACATGATTACCAATTAAATTATTCGATACAACTAAAGAAGCTCAAAATATAAAAAGAAGAGAAATAAATTTAAATTTATTAATTTACGGATTAAACAAGCGTATTTGCAAACAAAATACCTAACAAAAATGTAAATATTGAGCTATTTAATACAATAATTGAAAAACTATATATATATATATAACAGCAGAGGTCGTAACAACTCTCGAGGTGTAGGTGTTTTAGAAAAACAGGTCATGCGAAAATATGTCGGGATCGGATACAGGGGCGCTGGACTCGAACCCGGGTCCTTTACCTTAGAGTGATGAGCGCCTTGTCAACGCCTCCGTTGCGGCCACCGATGCCCCTCGGGAGAGCATTAATGTTTTAATGTTGTATTTTTGGCATACGTATCGTTTGCTGGTGTGCCAGTCTAATATTTTTACATATATGTTGTTGTATCTGTTATCTTTGTGTACCGGAGTATTAGATAGATTTAAGTCTGGGTTTTTATTGTTCAGCTTTATGATTGTTGGTTCTTGTTTTTAGTGTCTTAAATATGTAAATGATATGTTTAAGCTGCTGCTAATTTGTTTGATAATGTTTTTTTTTTTTAAATTCGGTGTGTTTGTATATTTCTAGGTTTAATTAATAATAGATGTTAGGTTCTACTTTTTGTATATTGTATTTTTATTATCCTTGTTGGTTTAATTTCTCTGGTTCTGTTGTAATTCTTTCAGTTTATTGATACTATTTTACCCAGTTTCTCTAGTAATTTAGTGCTAATATTTTGTGTTGCTGAACGTGGTTCGAGGAAGCGTTGTGTTCATGTTTTAGGGTAAATATTATGACTTTCAGCGTTCAAGTCTCTTGTTATGTGGTTTTATTGTTGTTAGTTATTTAAACAGGTAATATTACTCTGAATGGCAGAAAGACTTTTGCGTAAAACCAAATTAAACATAAAATTCTGCAAAAAATTGCTCGTTACATGCAAATCGAGTAGTTCTTTCAAGGAATATACAAAAAGCTCACCTGGTTCGTTTTGTTGTGCTTCGGTGAAAAGGAAGGCGTTAAGGGCTTCTCGTGGATCAGTTTTGTGTATCTGGCCATTTATTGTCGGGTTTCCGCTATCGGCTCACTTTGAGCTGATCATTGTTTACCCCTTTCTCTTTGGCTCGCGATATCAGATTATTAGACCGGAAAGAAGTGGCGTCGATTTGAATAAATCCAGCGATTTTTGCCTAACGATTGTCTTTTATCATTGTAATACCAATTTGAAGTCAAAATGGTCAATTTATTTAAGCTTTTTTAAGGGATAGTTTTGATCTCCATTATTTGACTACTTTTTGAAGTGTTTCTACTAAAAAGTAGTTTCAAATTTGTAGCCATCCGAGAAATTGTTGTACTTTTGTAACCTCTTCTATAGAATGCTGTGGTACCCGAGATAATATTGCAAGATTTTACTTTTGGTAATTTCAACGTGAAGCTTCTGCTAGAGCCATCAGAAATGAGTTTTCCCAAGGGTGTCGATTTAACTAGAGAAGCTCTAAGTCATGTAAAATTATGCTGACCCGACTAAATGTCTTAACTTATTTTCATTTATTCTCCATTGACAAAACGTGAGTCCGATGTGAGACGAGTTTTATTACATCCCGTAGAAGTACAAAAGACAAAGAGCTTTAAAGACGAATATGCTCTTTGTTAGTCAAATAAATGGGTAAAAAGTCTCTGGAAATTATTTACTCCGACAAAAGGATGATCGTTCATACGCCCTGACTACTTTCCAACTTTTTAAACTCCTGGGGGTGGAAGATATATTTCCTGCCATATTACAAAACGTAAAAGATATGCTACGTAGTTTGGTATGTGCAAATCCAAATGAAGGATAAAAATGTGATATTTAAAAAAATGCTGAAGAACAGAACATTATTAATTGAACTAGAAAAATTTACACAGTAGAACAGAGAACCTCTCTCGTTCATAGTCTGATATTGATTGCGGCGCATCGGGAAATTTAAAAATGGATGACCCACCATAGTCATCGGATTTTTTCATCTTACATGCAGGAGGAATATACTTAAACCACGATTACAAGAACGAAATTTCACCCATAGAACATAAATAATTATAGGAAGATTTCCTCTTGACGTCTCGTGAGTGATGAACCTGTAGCTTTGATTTCAATCATTTTGTTCTAATATCTTTGTTATTTTATTCTGCAGAGTGTTTCATCTTTCCACACATTCGGTAGGTATTTAACGTAAGCAAACCAGTGAAAAATCACCACTACACAGCCGC